GTAAGTGCATCAGCTTCCCAGCGCTGAAGTGCGGGGTTCAAATCCAGCTCCAGCCTACCTGTGTGGCATTTGCATGTACAAATGGTAACTTGATGACCAAGATGTTTTGGTCAGGTTTAAAAAAAACAAACACCTTACGATACATGCAAGTCTTTTTTTTTTAAAATACGCCTGACAATCCATGCTCGTCTTAAAAAAAAAAAAAAAACCCGTGTCCTCATGGTTCATGTGTCGGCTTCCCAGCGTAGAGGTGCAGGGTTCAATTGCAGCTCCGGCCTGCCTGTGTTGCAACTGCATGGGGTTCTCCAGAAACTCCAATTTCCTCCCACACCCAAAAGAAAACAAGCGCAGCAGGTTAATGGAACACTTTAATATTTTCAGGATGTGACAAACCACCATGAAGTGTGTTCTGCTCGAGTAGCAACAAAGTCACTGAGTCAACACGTGGCGAACTGGTTAGTTCGTCGGCATTGTCTTTTTTTGGGCTGGAAAAACGCCTGACTATACATGGTCGTTTTTTTCGTTTAAAATCGCCTTCGAAAACATGGTCGGTTTTTTTCGGCTAAAAATGCCTTACTATATATACATGGTCATTTTTTGGGGCGAAAAACGCCTTTCTATACATGGTCATTTTTTGGGGGTTAAAAGCGGCTTACTCTACATGGTCGTTTTTTTCGGTTAAAAAAGGCTTACTACACATGGTCCTTTTTTTCGTCTAAAAACGCCTTGCTATACATGGTCGTTTTTTTTCGTCTAAAAACGCCTGACTATCCATGGTCGTTTTTTTCGGCTAAAAACGCCTTACTATATATGGTGGTTTTATTCAGCTAAAAACGCCTAACTATACATGGTCGTTTTTTTGGCTAAAAATGCCTTACTATACATGGTCGTTGTTTGGGCTGTAAAATCGCCTGACTAGACATGGTCGGTTTTTTCGACTAAAAACGCCTTGCTATACATGGTCGGTTTTTTTTCGGCTAAAAACGGCTTACTAACATGGTCGTTTTTTTCGGCTAAAAACGCCTTACTATACATGATCGTTTTTTTCGGCTGTAAAAACGCCTTACTATACATGGTCGTTTTTTTGGGCTAAAAACGCCTGACTATACATTAGGGGTGTCAAACATACGGCCCGCAAGGAGATTTGATCAGGCCCGCAGGATAATTTAAAAGTGAAAACAAGCACAAAAGACACAGAATGAATATTTTTAATAAGGTGTAATTCATGGAATATGCGCACGGGGGACACACTGTTTTGATCAGAGGAAAAGACAACATTGTTTTGATCAGAGAAGAAGACAACAGCAGCCTCAGTCTGTCACTGAGACAGACCCAACACAGCAGACGCT